AGTACGGAACGATCCAGAGGAGTTAGTACGGAACGATCCAGAGGAGTTAGTACGGAACGATCCAGAGGAGTTAGTACGGAACGATCCAGAGGAGTTAGTACGGAACGATCCAGAGGAGTTAGTACAGAACAATCCAGAGGAGTTAGTAACGATCCGGAGGAGTTAGTACAGAACGATCCAGAGTGCTGGTCATGTCGACAGCAGGGTTCATGCCAGGTCTTAAAAAGTCTAAAATTTGAAAATCAAAATTTTAGGCCTAAAAAAGTCTTAAAAACGCCCAGATTTTCATCCAAGGTCTTAAATCAGGGTTCCCACACCTTGGTCAACATCAAATTCAAATACCTTTCAAGGACTTTCCAGTACCAATTTTCTCAAAGTCACGAGCCATGTGCAACAGCAATTACCTGCTGCTACCACAGAGTTACCAATAAACAGGTTTAATATCATGTAAAGTCAATGAAAAACTGAACATAGTTGTTGAGTCAGAATCAATGAAAGAAAGTGGATTAAATGTTTATCCTACATTCATATCCACAATACATGGACATGTAATTATGTCCTGGGAGGTTCAGCAGCTCAGTTTGGGGGGACATGTCCAGACCCTCGGTGAGGACAGGAGCTGTGGTGCTTCACCTGGGCTCAGAAAGAACGACCCGCCCTCCTCTGCTCTGATTGGATAAAACTAAGACTATGGCTCTCTTTATTTGTTGAAAGCCACGTCAGTTTACTGTAATCCTGAGTTATCCACTGCAACAAATGTAATCTTTATTTTATTTATTTCACTATAATAATAACATATTTTTATGGATGATGAAAATCAGTCCTGTGAATAGAGAACTTCAATCCCCATCAAAACATTCAAGGACTTTCAAGGAAAAGTGTAATTTTTGGATGTTTTCACAAACTTTCAAGGATTTCAAGGACCCGTGGGAACCCTGTTAAATTTAATTTTGTCAAGTCTTAGTTTTTTCTACTTTTGATCATTCCTGAGAACCGTTGGCTGCATAAATAAAGTTAAGAGTTGTAATCAGAGGTTGACTCGATCTGTCTTCATTAAGTGCTCAGTTTGTTACAGGTCATGATTAAACTACAAATCCCCTGAGAACTGCAGGTAAAAATGGTTCAGTTTACTTCCATGTTTTTAACCTCTGATGCTACAACCCCCCACATACAGGAGCTTATTTACCTGCTCAACAAACAGTTCAGTCATGTCCACTGCTTGTTGTTTAAATATGGGAAAATGTGTTTTCAATGAGACTTGACTTGATATCAGTGATTTTTTCACTCAGTTGAAAGCGGTTCAAACAGTCAGATATGACCATTTCATTCAAATAATTTAGTGTTCTTGTATTAAAATTAAATATTCTTTAATAACTAAATTGATAGCAATAAAAGGTTTCTGTTAAAAATTCTGGGAGCATTTGAATGTTTCTGTTAATGTGTCGATTTGGTCTTAAATGTCATTACTAATGGTCTTTAAAAGGTTTTAAATTTAACTTACTGAAACCTGCAGGAACCCTGTGACAGTCAGGACTGATCAAAATAAAAAAATGTTTTTTTAAATTTTTTTATTCAGACCTGTCACTTTAGATCAGCCGTCTGTGATGAACCCAAACCACCAAATGTTTCTGCCGTCAGCTGCTGCTCTGGATTCTGATCAGTTCAGTTTATTTAACACCAGTTCACTACGAGTCAGCTCAAAACATTCAGACATTTTAAAGTTTAACTGTTGATCACAGCTTTAAGGAGCCTCATCCTGTCAAAAACAGACACATGCAGCTTCATCTGTTAACAGTTTCTTCAGATAATTACTTACTATAACTTATGATTGTGTTGAATTTTCAGCACAATAAATTCATTTTTGAGCCATTTATAAAAGACAAAATAAAAAATACATATTATATCCCCTAAAGGGATCCCTGATTAGTTGTAACATTAGACTTTATTTGATAAACATTTATTTTTACTGTAAAATAAAAACTGTAAAAATACTGTTGGATGTTTAGTTTTGTAAATTTTTAAAAATATATTTTAACATGGACGGGACCATTTTATTTACACACAAAGCATTCTGGGTAAATGATGACGTGGATAGGTCCTCGGTGCGAGGCTGCTAGCGAGCTATATCCACCCTGAAGGTTAATCTTGGACAATATCTGATGATCGACTCTTTTAAATGAAACCAGAGAGCGTTGACAGAGAGGAGAAGGTAGAAATGACTCAGCCTGGAACTGAAAATATGGATGGAGGACAACAGAGCTGCTTCATGGAAGAAGAACCTCAGCTTAGCCTGTTAGCCTTTGTGCTAGCGTCGATGCTATATTGCTTTATAAGCATTAGCTCAGCAATAACTCTACAAACAAACAAGCTAAACTGTTTCCTCAATTATGGGGTCTTTGGTCAAACCGTTGGCTGGAGCGGTGTAGGTCAGACTCATCTACAGTCCGGCCAAATTTCATGTTGATCGGTGCAGCTGTTTTTGTGCTACAGTTGACAAAAAATCATTGAAAAAAAAATACAACAATAAATAAACAGTACAAAAACAATATGACTCCTGCTTACGCTTCACGTGTGGGGGTCATAATAAATGTGTGTATATATAATATAAAGAACATCAGAACCCTCTAGTAGAACCTGGTCCAGAGGTTTCACTGGGAAGAAAGACAAAGAAACAAGTCAAATAATTACAAACATGTGGAGTGAGGACGTGATCAGTTTGTCCTCCAGCAGTTTCAGCACCAGAACTAAAGGATTCCTCAGGAAACCCTAACTATAGGATTTATGAAAAACACTTCTCTTAAACTCAGAGTAGAAGGCAGAGCTTCAACTCTGAGTTTAAGAGAAGGTTTAAGTTTAAAAACTGTAGGAACAGGTGAACCTGCAGACTGAGTTGAACACAGAGCTAAAGGAGCCAACAGGTCTGCTGAGTCCTGACAGCTTTAATATGTTCAGATGGAATTTACAGAAACACTACGCTCACACTGTTTGATTGACAGGAAGTTATTTTAACTGTAGAGAACAAGTTGTAACTACAGAGAAATTCACCTGCAGCATGAAACGCTCTGAATGAGAAAAACCTTCAGAGCAGATCAACTGATCAACCTTAGACCACAGATATTTATTTACTTTACATAATAACTGTTAGATGTGTAAAAATAATGTTTAAAGTGACTCCTCCAGTCATCCAATCATTTGTCTCCTCAGGGTCAGGAGGACCTGCTGAAACATGCACGACTCGAGGTCCAGGAGAACCTGAAGCAGATCCACTACGCTGCGCTCACCTGTAACCTGAGTAAAGGAGGAGCGGGGGGCGGCTCCTCCGGTTCCTCCGAGTCCAGGAGCCGACGCAGCCTGGAGGCCATCCCTGAGAAGGCCACGGCAGAGGAGGAGCTGACAGACGAGGAGAACTGAGGAGTTCTGCTCCTCCTTCCTGACCCTGAAGCACAGAATCCTCTCAGAGACTCTGAGCTCAAAGTGTCAACGCTTCAAAATAAAACTCTGTGTGTCCTCTCTAAGCCTGCAGAGACCAGTGAAGTCCCCTCAGAGACCAGTGAAGTCCCCTCAGAGACCAGTGAAGTCCCCTCAGAGACCAGTGAAGTCCCCTCAGAGACCAGT